TACAGTGGTACAATAGTGTTACTGCTTCGACAGTGTTGCCAATGTAGTCCATCTTCCATTGGCCTCAAGAGATGGAAGTCAGGAGATGCCAAATCTGGACTATACAGTGGGTGTTCCCTGGTCATAATCCACTAGTTTGCATGGATGAGCTGATTGAGACACTCTTCATTTTTCGGTGTGACAGCTGTGCATGCCCATCCAGAACGTGGCTTATCTTTCATGTTGCTGTCATCACTGCTGAAACACACCACCCACCACCTCACTATGCTCACATCCACTGTTTGATCTCCATAAGCGTTCAACTAGCAGCAGTGAATGTCAGTGGGTGCCATTTGTTTCCACATGGAGGAATTCAGCGATGCACCATTGCTTCATACGCATTTTGATGTCAGTCACCATTCTGTTAGATTGTCCCTCTGCTGCCATGTGTCACAGCAACAAAATGTAACAGAACATTGGTGGCAAGGTTCAACCTCTACTGCCATACCACCATCCATCTCTGACATCATAGGCTGATATCATAAAAAAGGAGGCACTACTTTCAGAGCAGCTCTCATACCTGCAGTCTCTAGGCACATCCAATATAGAATAAATCTTCTCAGAACCCAAGCCAAATCAGAGTGAATTAAGCCACGGTGCTGCTAACAAAGTGCTTTGCCTTTTCTGTTGCCAAGCCTGATCTCACTACTTAATAAATACTACACAATTTACTGATCACATGATCTATTATCATAAACATACAATTTTAATTGTTTTATAACACATTCACAAACAAGTCCTTCATTTGCTTTGGAGATGTGGAGACTGGAGTTCTTTGCCAGCAATATTTTAGGCATGCAGCCCATGCAAAACTCCTATCTATTGCTTTAGTTCTAGTACACATTCAAGTAATTGAATCTGATTTTTCATCAGTGCACAAGGGAGAGAAAAAAAGGGAACCAGAGTGACTTACACCGAAACCGGTAAAATCAAATCATTCTGGGATTTGCAAGTAAATATATTTGCCTCATGTTATCTTTCATTTTCATATAACTTGCTTCCAACTGGAATTCAAAGTGGAGAAAAATATTTTTAAAAGTTCTTGAAATACATCTGTTTTGCAGGCTTAGAGGAGTCAGTGGGTTTGAGTTAGGCTGAGATAAGCACTCAGAAGAATGAATGCTTATCTGAACCAACCTTTCTGAGGTTTTTCAGTTTATAAAAAAACATCTTAGCTGCAATCAGAGATGTCAGAGAGCAAGGCTGGCCTTGGGACTAAGGGCTCCAGCCATTATGCTTCTATTTCTGATTCTAACAAAGTCCGCCCAGCTGACCTTCGGCCTGTATTTTTGGCCTCCCTTCATCACTCCACTGAATGCAAAATGGAGATAGCAATACGTCTTTCTCCTCCAAATGTTGGCCTATGCTGCCTGCTTCTAATGCTGCAAGAAATTAACTGCTTTATACAGAGAATTCCCCATTTCAGTTGGACCTCAGTACAAAGCTATAACATTAAAAACATAATGAAAAGTGCTGGGTACTGAAAAATACATTAGTTTCTTCTCTAGTTTCCTTCGTTTCCCTCCCATCTTTGTTTAAAAAATGTTTTTAAATAACTAACTATACTCAATAATGTCATTCAGTAGGGATGTTAGAAATATGTAGCTAATTTGAATGTGTTAGTGAAAAGAGATTGTTAGTAATTTTAAGAATTGTTGTTTTGCAATGGAAAACATCTGATTTGCTGAGAAAAGTGGTAGCAGGCCATGTAACATCTTTTCAATTCACCTGATTATTTCATATGCAAGTTGATGTCTCAGTCAAGTGATAGCTGCTGAAAAAATCAGTGCTGTCCCAAGGTTGGGCTAAACTGACCTGGGAAAGCATGAGATAGAGGACTGTGCTGAACATTTTTTATCTCACTGAAACATACCAAGGTTTACTGAAACTTTTTTGTTACAAACATTTAAGAGCTCTGAAAGCTAATGCAAATTAGCTAGCAGTTCAAACTAAATGGAGCTAGCAGCAAGTTTTCACACCGCTTCTTGATTTGACTGATGTTCTGATACTCTTTATGGTAGATTCTGACACTAAACCCTTTGCAACTTTGAACAATAACAGGAATAGCTGCTGTTCCAATATAGTTACTCAATAGTTTGGTGTGAGAATACCATGAAGCAAAGCCATGAATTCCAGCTTCTTGTACCTGTTGTAAACTGTATATGTATACAAGTTAATAATCTGAGACAGGATACGTATCCATTCAAAAAATGGATAGCTGGAAAGATAAAGTCACTACAGCTCTTGGGAGAGATCTGTTTTAAAGCCAAGACTTGGGAAAAAAAAAAACCAAAAAAAAAAAACAATTTTACCAGATCTTGTTGCCAAATACATGCATTGCTCTGAATTCCTGTATTGACTGTACTGTGGTGCATCTTCTTACAGCTAGTGAAGTAGGTTGATAACATTGGGATATATTAAAAAAAAAAAAAAAAGGTTGTCTGAACTATGTAATTTACTGCCAGTTTCTTTGTACTGCAATGGAAAGATCTGCTGGTGGTTGAGCTGAATAAGCACATCACATGGAAGATGATAAAATTATCCAAGTAAAACCAAGAAAAAAAAGTATAAATAAAGGTTTATCCATCATAAATTTTACTCTAGTTCTCTGGTTTTACTTTCCAAAATATTTTAAAGAAATGTTGTTTTTTTTCCACAGACTGGAAAACTTTAATGAGCTTCAAGACTGCCCTGTTCCCTCATAACGCTCAATGTGTAATAGGTGAATTTTATCAGAAAAAGTGCAATGAGGATTTGACCTCTCTATTCTCAGGAGGGCCCAGAACCCTTATTGTTACTGGGCTTCATATGTAACACTTTGTTCCTTCTTTGGAAAATTAAGTCTGCAATACAGAAAATTGGTGGAATTTTCAGTCTGATTTGCAGAACAATTTAGATGTGGCCCATAATTCACATTTTTCAAGAGAAATTTCTGTTTGTGAATCTCTTAGGATGAGGGTGACATCTAAAATATCATACCAAGAAATCTTGAGTTGTTTATGCTTTTACAGCAAAGTGAAAGCCTAACATTGTGAGCTCATCTTAACCTTAATGGTTTCTCCAGTGACAGTAGGATTACTGAGACAGCTGAAGCCTGCACTTTAAGCCATGAAAACCTAACAAGGCAGCCTGGGGTGTGTGAGGGACTGAAGTGAGAAGCTTTCATCTCCATGCATCTGTTTCCATGACATCCTATTCCTGGCTTTGATAGACACAGTCATGTCTGATCTGCTCTTGTCCATTCAGAATGTATCTGCAAGGAGTGATTTTCTAGACCATTGTTTTTGTATCTCACCTTGCATCTACCTACTCATGCTGCTTTTTCCTTTAAAGTCTAGCTGCGGTACTTTTCCCATTCAAGGTATCCCATACTCTATCTTACCTCACCGACCCTTTTTTTCTGATCAGTACCAAGATACTGATAGGCTTACAGTGCCAAACTGTATCTCATACCCATGATGTTCCTGGTTCACTGTTCTGTTAAGTATGAAAGGTAACCCAGATGTAAGCACTTTATAAACTCCCTCAGACTGTTCAGACTATTCATTCACTCATTCAGACTAGTTCTTAAAACTTTGCTTGCTGTGATGACTACCAGAAGCCATGGTTACTGTGCTAAGTCTGTTGCTTATTTTACTGACTAATGAGGTCTTTTATTTCTTTGTGTACAACCAACTGTCGGTTGTCATGTTGTGTGTTTGGGCTATAAAGACTTTTTTATTTAAGTCTACTTAAAGCTTTCAGAACTATGCCTGTATAGTCCACGATGGGCAGTGGATTAATGCGACACAGCAAAATCTTTTCAACTAACACTGCATTCTGCGTTGGTGTAGAAAAGCTGCATGATCCATCTGTGAAGTCCTTAAAAAGTAAAACAATGCTATTTTTCAGTAGTTTTTTTTCTTTGCAAAACTAGAGAGCAAAACAAAAATATTCTATTTTCCACAACAGTTACTTCAAAAGAAGATGAAATAAGAATTGAAAATGACATCACTCCATGCCCAGAGAAGAGCCCAATAAAGAAAATTAAACAAAAAAACCCAAGTACATTATTCTACTGCTCACAATTTTACCAGATTCTGGTATCGCAGCCATGATTCAGCTCACAACATTCTCACATCTATTTTTTAGTAAAAGGTAACTTTCTCTCTTCATGGAAACACACAGCTGATTTCTTTACTTATAAGCGAAGGCAGGTTTCCACTCCAAGATTTAAATACACTGAACTCCGCAAACTATACCATGTACTTCTATTATTATGCTTTCAGGTTCCATTTTTATGTTTGGTATATTAGGGAGAAGGCCTTCTGACTTTCTGATGATGCATTTAAATGAATAAAGGGAGCCACGGGGGATAGCTGGAGGCCTAAAAAATAGAGCACACTCAATGCTTTTATGAGTACTTACATTTAATTAAAGAGCACCATATGCCACCAAAAGTACTGTTGGCTGGGTAACGTCCCTTTTAACAGATGTGATTACAGACATAGGGTAAATATTATGCAAAGAGACATAATAGTAGCGTAGCCCATTGGAAGGGAGAAAACTAGTAATACAAAAGCTACTCTAAACAGCAGTGTGCTGTTTGGCAAGGTTATAGGCTTGCTCTGGAAATACCTACTTTTCAGCCTTGCATAGGAAGGTTTTTGAGCTATCCAAGCTTCACCCTTTACACTTATCTTGAAAACATACATTACTGTCCTCCAAAGCACACAGATAAACTCTAGGTTTTATATTTTACCTCAGAAAGAGATCAGGCAGAACTACAATTGACATTTAGTGCAAAACAACCTGTATCAGAAACTTCCAGTCCATTCATTCACGCTTAAAGCACGTGCACTTACCCAGCTGGTTCCTGTATTCATCGTCAACGAGAAAGTCCCTGGTAGGAGCTAGCCCTGGCAATCTGCACCTCAGTGGCATTTAAGAAAGCATTGGGACTATTCCAGCTGGACAGTTACCTTTCTATTATGAGAGCCATTCCTCCAAATCCTGGTGCTCTCCTTCCTTCCACTCTGCCATACTGGGGATGGAGGACGGTGAGATGATGATTTACTGGAAAAGAAGAGGATCAGAAAACAGTAACAGGAGATTGAAAAAAACAAACAAAAAAAAAAAAAAAAAAAGAAAGAAAGAAAACAAGAAGGTGAATGGAAAAGAAGCAAGGAAGAAAACACACTGGGAAATTATTTAAAAGTTGCCTGGGCTTTACTGTTATGTCTTCCCATACAAATTGAAGGGCAAGTACTGTTATGTGAAGGAAGTATGTGCTAATGGAAAATGGGAAAGGTATTTAAAGCATTAATTCCTTATTTGCTTTTATTTGCTATAATATCTGTAATATAAAAAATATATTTCCACCACATTTGTATCATTTATGTAATTTAATATTATGGACAACATAGCTTTATATCTACCTCAGTTACTGCAAGATAAAGTAACTGTTAACTGAATCAATATACACTAAAACAGACAAGCCACAGGGATGGCAGACTGACAGTTGGGACTGTCAGGATGTAATATTTTCTGTAAGTAATTATTCTTTTTTGCTGGCATGGAAACATGCTTTCAGCTGCTCTTGGCTTCAGTAAGAGTTATGTCCAATTAAGGTAATAGAAAATCCTCCATTAACATCAATGGGCTGGCTAACATCTTCAGAAAATGGCTGTGGTTCAGCTAGTATATGTCTGACAAGAAAATAAGCTGAAAGAGGATATCAAAACTACATCTGTCTGAAGATGAGAATGGATAAAAGTTACTAGTTTCTTACCAAGAGAGGTGATGCTCCACTATCTTGACTGATGTAACCGTACAGTTTTTAACTCTGAAAGCAGGTCCTTCCTTAACAATATTATATTTATCAGGAACAAGCTATGAAAAATCTTTTCATCTCTTTATTTGAAAAGATGACTAATCTCATGTAAAGGAAGAAATTACTGATGCAGACTGTCCTGATGTTAGTAAGCCTTTGGTACAGTCCCATTTTGTACTCAGAATACAGCCTGACAATATGCCTGCAAGAAAGTCTGTCTCATCTGAAACTCCAGGTGAGGGGAACGGATTCCGTCCCACTGTAACAGTGGAACAAGTCCAAGACCTCCTCATGCAATTGAATGCATATAAGTCCATGGGGCCAGATTATATTCACCCTAGGGTTCTGACAGAGATGGCTGATGTTGTCGCCAAGGCGCTCTCCATCGTATCTGAAAAATCATGGCTCTCTGGTGAAGTCCCCTGTGACTGGAAAAAGGGAAAAATTACTCTCATTTTTAAGAGAGAAAGGAAGACCTGAGGAACTACAGGTCAGTGAGCCTCACCTCTGTCCCTGGGAAGATCACGGAACAGATCCTCCTAGAAGCAGGGTACAGTGTGTGTCAAAAAAAAGATGGTGACTGAATGTCATTGAAGAGTAGAATAATAATTCAGTGGATTTGCAGTAAAGAAAATTTAGGTTAGATAATAAGAAAGTCTCAGCACACCACATAGTAATCCAGGGAGGTAAACCCTCGTGAAAATACTGAAATGTCAGTTAGAGGGTTTTATGGACAAGTTATTTTCACATGTTTAAGGAATGCAGATGTTTCTGATACTGATTCAGAGAAAAGGCATTGGTTATACAGCTTCCTGAAAATCTGTTCCAATTAGTTTCTTCCATTTCTTATATAAATCAAAACACCGACAACGATATCTAAAGAACTACAGCTGTCCAGAGACTGTACCTAAGTGACCATCAGCTACAGTGGTACTGGAGAGAAAAGCCACAAGGGCTTGGGAGAGGATGAGGGGTTAAATGAAGAATGTTGGGTTTTTTTGGCAGAGAAAAAAAAATATTGATTCATCAATTAAAAATTTAATTGATTCATCAATTAAAAAAAGCAGACCTCAAAACGGAACAAGTTACCAGAATGAACCAAACTCAATGTCCATTCTTCTCATTTACTTGCACAAAATGGCCAATGAAGTCAGGGAAAGAGTCCTTCCTCTTCACTTCAGCACAAATAATGAATTTATAAACCAAGAGTATTCCATATTCACTGAGACAGCAAACCAGCAACAAGGTAACAGTATCAGCTTCTATAAGCATTTTAAAATAGGTCTTTTTTTCCAAGCAAAATTTTCATATAAAATACACTTGCAACCTGAAAGCTTCTCAGCACACTATGAACTTTTATGAAGGTACAGCAAATTACTTCAATTAAGTCTTTTTTTTTTTAGCCTGACAGTGCTAACCTTTTTTTGTTAACCACTGCCAGAACAGTTGGTATTTAAGTTAATTTCCCTGAGTTGTGCTAGAAAATTGCCAATATCTAAGGTGGAGTAGATCCCCTGCATTATTTTTAATATCACTTCTTTTGCCTAACAGTCTTTAAACTATTTTTCTTGCTCCTGGCAAACAGGGAGTTAACTGAAGCAGCATCTCCTTCCTTGCCCTCCTTTAAGTTGACTATAAGTGCCATTCTTTTGACCCTGTGCCTCTCCAGTTGGCACTGGCTACACTCAATCTACTGTGGAGTAGAGAACTACCTAAATATTTTTGAGAAATAGGACTGTTTGATAGTCAGACAATAGGACAACATTTCATTGCTTGTCCTGCTTCTCAGTAGCTAGCGCTGCCGGTTAACACAGTTTCTCTTAGGTGTGTCACCAAGACTTCTTCTCCATCTCTCAGCTTGTCTTCCATCTTTTTTGTGTGCTTCTCTGTACTCAGATAGACAGCCCCACTAAGGTGCACCCCTGTTACCTTCTGGTCAGTGTGCCAACCCACCTTTTCTACACTGATTTTTAGCTGTCTGAACTGAACTGAAAAGACAGTAAGTTACTCTGTCACTCTCATCTCATCATAGAATTCACCTCTGCCTCCAAACAGCTCCAGGAAAATCTACCAGCTCCAGCTATCCTGTATGTTCTCCATCAAGGGAATCTCGGGAAATGCTTAGAAAATAAAGAACTTCTTTTCTAATTATGGATTTGTTAAAACAAGGTGAAATTTTAGTTCCATGCCTGCAAAATGGGAATCGTTACTCCCAGTGTAACTGGGACACACTGAACTCTCCAGCACATCTGAAAGAGTGAATCTGTCAGTACTTTGAAAATCATTTGCAGACCCTTAGAAAGAAAGCTCTGTTACAATTTCAAATGTTGGTATTATGACTCTCTGCCAAATGCACAAATAAGTACTAAAGAAAGATAGGAGAACACATCTCTGTAATGTTGTTGATTGTAACCCATTATCTGAGTACCCCTGAGTGCACTGTGCTTCTGAGATTTACTGATTGAAGAACAGTGCTAGATAATAAATGCTGTTGGAAGCCATTGAAAAACCAGCAGGTTGCCGTCATACAACTAACAATAAGGGAAAACAGATAATGCTACCAAGATAAAAGCAGCAGGAATGGAAGAAACTGTGTGGAAGAGATCCGTAGAAGTGATGATGAAAGAAAATGGACCTGAAAACTTAAAAATGTGTATTTGTCACTAATTTCTTGCAAGCCTTTCAATCTACAATAGAAGGCACATGCTGCAGCAATAATTATAGATGATTGTAGATGTACAGATGCCATGTTGTTTCTGTTGTTATAAACAATAAAACCGTCCATATACTTAAGACTGATAAATGATAGTCTTTGGATCCATACAAGTGTGCACGCATGAAAAAAAAAGTCACTAAGTAGAGTAGTCTAGGAAATTACAACTATTCTAATTACCTCTCAGGCATACGTCCACGAGAGAGCCACCAAATATTGACATGACAGGTAAATATTTACCTACAGGCACATACCCAGAGAGTAGCCAGAGTGCTGCTCTGAGTCCATACCCCTTTCAATTCATATGATGTAAAGTTTATTTGATACCACAATGCACTTGAGTCCTCAGGGTATTCAGTACATTAAAGACACCTGCAGCTCTTCCTGTCTATCCTTTTTTTGATCTTCCTGACATTTGTGACTTCTACTCCTCCAAAGAGTCAAAGTACTCAACACACTTTTAAAATAAAGATCAGACATCCCTAGGAGGGAAAGCCCTAGCCAAGCCACTGCAAAGAAGTTAAATGGATTCCTTTTATAAGTATTTGCTGTGGAAGAAGCTGGGGAGATTCCTGTGCTGAAACTCGTTAGTGGAGAATAAGGAGCAGCAGATGTCTTAAACTTTAAGTGGCTGTAGAAGTTACTGAACAAACTGTTAATGCATCCCCATTATTCCCTGAGAAGTTCTAGGAGAAGTCAGGGATGATATATGTAAGCTATCAGCAGTGGTGGGTAAGTGCCTGTTTAAAACTGTTTTCATACCTCAGGTGTGAAAACCACACTGGTTTTCAAGAAAGACCTTGGGAACTCTAGGGTAAAGTACTGGTACACCTGCACTAGGCAAACTTGTAGAAATTCAAATAAAGGAATATGAGAACAGAATTACCCAATTTCTGGATAAACGCAATCTGATTTGAAAGAGCCAGCATGACTTGTATGAATGGACATATTTGCATGTAAATCTCTGAAGTGGTTAAACAAATACCATAAGGATAGTTTTTGTGGTTTCCTCTTGACCTATAAAAGTCAGTGTCTGAGCATCCTTCTTGGCAAGAGTGATAGGTCATAAGGAAAATAAAGAGGGGCCAAAATAAAAGTGGACTGTTACATTCTTTTATGGAAAATGTTCATACCAAAACCAACCGCAATTCAACAAAATGTTTTCACAATAAGTTCTGAAGCCTAGACTGAATTTCTGGTCAAACCCAAAATGTCTCAGCATTTTATCACAAACACACACTCATATCACCATAGCATTATTGCTTAGTCTAAAAATAACACTGAAAAATAAAAAAGAGAAACAGAATATTTTTGAGCTTTAGATTTTACATAGTAAGAAAACAAAGGCTTCAGTATCCTCTATTCCTCAGTATTAAAATTTTGATTACAGTTTAAAGCAAAAGAGACATCATTTTCCCTTGATCATACTTAAGGATAAACCAATCAATGTCTTGTAGTATATGTACAAATTAACTGTGTAGTCTTGCCTCCATTACAGATAGATATGCTATCATATTGATCAACTTGTAA